TAGTGAGAGGAGAAGAAGGTTGGACTGTTGAAGAATTAAAACAGCATATAGGAGGAGTAAGAGAAAGGATATACTGTCATTTATATTGATCTCCTTCCGCCACCATTGATCTGGTCCATTTCTTTATTTAGTTATTTAATATCAAATCATCATGTATGAGAATAGTAATGGAGGAGGAGGATTACAGGAGGTATGATACTTCAGTCAGGGATATTAGTGATGTAGGAGGCACTCTAAGAGACATACTCATCATTGGTCGATACAAACAAGTAATGAAATCATTGGTGTGGTTTTATTTTTGTGACTATAATCTGCCTTTATTAACTCCTGCTAGCAATATTTCACCTTACACAATAGTTAACTATTTAATTATATTTATACTATCTATTTTATCCTTCTCCACACACACACACACACAGTTTTATGTATCATCAGATCCCAAAGATTATCAAAAAGAATTCAAAGATAGTTTGATGTACAAATATGTTGATTTTCACGTCAACTCCATATTACTGAAGATTACATTACCTCCAGCTCCTGTACCTGAAGCCACACCCACTACAACTAACGTTACTGAAGGAGGAATAATAATGAAAATTATATCAATGAATGAAAAAAATAAAGGAAAAGAAAGAAGTAAATATTAATTTGTATTATAATAAAAAGATCACTATTAATATAATATTATTCAATACAGAGATACAGGTACAAGTTGATAAGAGAATAACATTAGCTCAATTGAAGGAGGAGCTGGTTCCACTGATTGGGGTACCACCTACTGGTTTTAGAGTGTATAGAATCAGTGGTAATAAAGAAATTGAAATGGAGGGACTGGATAAGACATTAAAGGATATTGACTCTGAATCAGAGGTATAGTTTATTGTGTTATTTGATTCACTTCTCCTTTCCATTATATACTATTATAAGTACTAATAACACACACACACACACTCATCTCTTTATTACTTTGTGTATCTACTAGTTGATAGTAAGACTGGGTAGAGGATTAGGAAGAGGAGAGAAAAGAATTAAATTATATTTATTACAAGTTAATAATACAGAGGTATAGAATATTAATTATTATGATTAATTTATATTTTATTTTATTTTTTAGTTTTGTAATTTTATGATGGAGTCTATTGTTGCTGAGGGTACACCAGTGAGAGAATTTAAGAAACAAATTATTGAAGAAGCAAAAGTACAAGGAATTGACTGTGTCCTTGAATTAGACAAGTAAGTACATTATGTGACTATCATGTGACTCATTGTGTAGAATGAGATTACGTAACAAGAGGGGAGTGTCCCCTGGTAGAGTATATGTTGATTATTTGTGGATTGATGCTAGTAGGGAAATGTATGTGGAACCATTAAAAGGTCAGTATATTGTGCTGTACTTTTTATGATGCAAGTTTAATGTTAGTACATGTGTATATTAATTATATTGTATCAGGACCAGAGAACGAGAAGAGGCATTATGGACAGACACAGGTGTATGTTATAAGATGGCATCCATCACAATGTTCAGTTGATCCAATAGAAGAAATTATACTGAATGATAGTGATCCTAAGCATGTTATTGAAAAGGTATGTGTATTATTTGAAATAATCATAATTGTAATAATAGAGAACATGTATCAGTATTACATTATATTATTCCTTTACAGCTGTCAGAGTTAAGTGGAGTTCCTGCTAAGTATATCTATTTTACAAGGGTTAGTCATTAAAACATATTAAAGATACTCTCTCTCTCTCTCTGACTATAGAAGCAATCATTTCCAGTTGAGATATCATGTCTAGATATTGAGAATAAGTTGAAATGGTATTCCATCAGTTCAGACAGATACTTATTAGGACTATATGATGGTGATGGAGATGTCATATATTACAAGTACTAATGAACACACACACATTATGTATACACACACACTTACATACACCTCTTACTGTTTATAATTATTTAGAGACAATAGAGAGAGAATGAAAGAGTTAACAGATAAAGAGAGATCAGAAATACAAGAGGCAGAGGAAGCAAGGTCAGTAAACCTCATGTATCATCATGTACATGTACTATCACATTGGCGTAGGAATGATTCAAAACTTGAGGGGCTCAACATTAAAAGCATGACTTAGAATGTGGAACATGGGGAGGCTAAGCCCTTCTTGCTGAAAAGTTGGGGGGACTTCAGGTCCCCCTAGCCCCCCCCCCCATTCCTACGCCTATGTATCAGTTAATTAATTACCTCATCACTTTACCATTTATTATTATTATATTGTAGGCTGGAGAAGATTAGGGAATGCTTATCACAGCATGTACATAGATATTGGTAATAGAACTGACTGACTGCATGGATTGGTTTAATTCTAAGTGTCATATTAATTTTTATTTTTGTAATTGAAATTCTGCAGTTATAAAATTTTAAAATGATTTTATAAATAGATTTATATTATTTTTAAATTTTGTGTTGTTATAATTATTATTGGGCGAAACCACTCAGATAAGTAGAGTTTGTATGTATGTACATGTATACATGTA